GTGTTTAGAGGTGTTGTTAGAGGGATTGAGAGAAACCAAGTCTACCATGTAATAGCTTTATTCATTAATTTATTAAAACAACTTTAAGTACGCAATAGGATTTCTACTAGAAATTGGAGTCATTTGGAGAAAGTCTGTGGTATCACAGTGGTTAGAATGCAGTATTGCAGGGTAACTCTGCTTACTGCCAAGAGTTCGATTCCTTTGATCCTGACCAGCTCAAGGTTGACTCAGACTTCCATCCTTCTGAGGTTGGTAAAATGAGGATCCAGATTGTTGGGAGCAATATGCTGACTCTGTAAACTACTTAGAGAGAGCTGTAAAGCACTGGGAAGGGATAGATATGCCTAAATGCTATTGCTCTGCTATTAAAAAACCAGCACTCAGCATGACTAAATCCGAGTCAGGAAGAATTGCTGCAATGTGGGAGATTCATTGTTGCAATAGGAATAGGAATTGTGACTTTTAGGATGCTGATATCATAACCTGTATCCCACATGAGCCTGCATAGACCCTTGATGTTCCTCACTTACAACAAATCACAGGGGTATTCAGATGAAGAAATAAGCAAACTCTTGCTACCAGATCAGGTTAAGTTCTTCCCAATTGCAGAAATGTAATAAAAATGGAACAGGGCAAGTAAATACACACTGGAAGATGAGATTGCAAACATTATTGTGGAAACTAATAATCTGCATTTATTTTCAAGAGTGTTCTGATTTAGCAAAGTGAAGAGATGCACAGGATCAAATTGTGAAAAGGCAAAACATACAGATGACATCTAATAAATCCAATGGCAACACCAAGATTTGGTACACAGGTTATGTTCTGGTGTATATGATCAATACAATCATATTTCTATATTTTCATAGTGATTAACCAAATTATGGTTCAGCATTACTTGTGAATACAGTTTATTTCTATCTAATGAATTGTTAGGTCACAGCTGGAATATTGTGGGCATTTCTGTCACTGCGTTTCAAAAAGGATATGGTGGAGATTGATTGATTGATTGATTGATTGATTGATTGATTGATTGATTAGATTTGTTTGTGGACTTAGATAAATTTGCTGAATTAGAGAGGGTTCAGACTTCAACAAAGATGACCAAGGAGGCTAGAGCAACCTCCCTAAGAGGAAAGAGTGTAAAATTTGAGATTTTTTTAAATATAGAAATTAATGAATGAGAGAGTTAAAGAGTACAAAAGTTTGTATGGTATGGATAAAATAGCTGAGAAGTTAATTTCTCCTTCCTGGATTAGTAGAATTGAGTTCAACCAATAAAATTGAATCCTGGAAGAACAAAATTTTTTTAAAACAACATATAATTAAACTTTGGAATCTGCTACCATGAGATGTAGAGCTATCAACCTGGCTGGCTTAAAAAAAAAAAGGGTTGGACCAATTCCTGAAAGTCACAGGAAAGAAAGCCTTGATGTCACCATGGCTACCTGTAAAGACCTTTTGTTGGGAGATTTGTGGGTTTCCTTGTACAGTTTGGTTGGCCACTCTGAGAACAGACAGATGGATTAGATGGGCCAGCCATTCAATCCAATAGGTCTCTGCTTATATTCATTTGTTACCTGTTGCAATTGAATAAAGCTATATATTTTCCCAGTTGCCAAATCGGATGCATTGACAGCAATTACTGACCCCAGTTCTTCATCAGTCCAAAGATGCTGTAGGCTCTGCTTGTTTTAAGTTTTCTACAAACTGAATCTAACCTTGGTGACTTGCTCAATACCCACTGACTATCTCACAGAATTTTCCCACAGGACTGGCATTGAGACCTTTCCTAATAGATTATGGAGTTTCATAAACTACAATACCCTTCATACAGAGCTCTTCCATACTGAGCTGGCCTGACAGTGATCATTTCCTGGGAATTTTAATCTTCCAGGTACCTGACAAATTTCTTGTCCTAAGCCTTGTAACTATGGAATAAAATGGACTCTACTCTACTTGGATTAAGTGGATTATCATAACAGGAAGAAACACATACTAAAATCTGAAATTCTGAGTCAGCACATCAAAATTATAAGAACTAACAGTTCAGGTGAGTCAATTATTTGCCACTGCTCTAATCTACTTCAGTGACTCCAGCCTATTCCTGGATCATCCTCAGTCCCAAAAGGTATTTCAATCAAATTGCTAGTTTGATTTACATTGCCTGGAAGCAAAGGAAGGCTTGATTTGGCTTTTTAATAAATATCAGGAATACTCTGCAGCCATGTCCTATTAGCAATGTAAGAATGCAGAGAAGGCATTATAAGCAATTGCTTTATGGGAAGACAAGGGAAACGGTCAGAACTTTCTGATAGTAGCCACTCAAGCAGGAAACTCCACTCCACTCTGGCAACTCCATCATTAAAACATCCACTTTGCCCCATTTTTACAACTCCATTTAAGATCCGAGAGACATATTTTAGTTCTCTTAACACATAAATAAAAAGCCAAATCAAATTGATCTGAATATCTCTTCCCGATAGCTACCAGTAACAACTCCAGAAATTAAAAAAATAAGTTTAGCAATCTAAACCATAAAACGCCCCAAGCAATGATAACCTAATAGCAGAACTGTAAGAACTTAGAATGGTAGACCCAGTATCAGTCACCCTTTTTTATTGCAAAAGTCCCAGAACATTGGGGCACAGCAATAATAAACACTATAACAGTGGGAAGAAAATTGAATGACCATCCAATTAGTTTATAAAAGATCATCTGTACACCAAACATCTGAAAACAAAATTGTCGGACTGGCCAGAAACATTTATTGAAGAATTAGGAATAATTGTGTAAAAAAGAGAAAGTCCTAGTATTCTTGTTAAATGATCACAAAGTTGAGCAAACCAATATTTTCAAATACCTCTTAGAAGCACTTTTCAAGTCTCTGATGAGAGAAGGGCTCATTCAGACCATGTAGTCTAGAATGCAGCCATATCAAATTTTCCATTGATCAAGGGATGCCATACTAATCCTTGATGCTTTAAAGTTATTCTATGCCCAGATGTGCTCTCAGCGCCTCAATGGTTCTCAGCTAGGCCCTATGGGAACTACTCAAAAACTGCTATCTAAAATTCTATAAAGTATCATTCAAATTTCCACCCGGTGTCTCAAATGTAGTTCTCCAGAAGACTGGTGTAAATAAGATTGAAATAAATATTCTTGAATATTGAAATAGCTTTTCATTTATTGATTATAAGTAAATTTCTGCTCATAGACTTGACCTCTCTGACAGATCATTTTAATGCAATATGGAGAAGGGATCTACTTGAAAAGCTACAAGTGTATTGAGTCTCTGAGGAAGTTCTCCTATTCCTAGATTAAAAGCATACTAAAAAGATACCCAGAACCCATTGGACACAGAAAAACAACTAAATCAGTATCAACTATCCAGAGGTTTTCTTAAGTTGATCTTCTTCACTCAGACCTGCGGGATATATAAATTCCATTTGTTTCCAAGTTGAGGAAGTTTTGAACTACAGGTAATTGCACTAAATCACTTAGTAATTTAATGTTTAAGGGTTAATGCTCTGCTTTCCCTGTACTTGATGGCAGGTATATTCTGTCTATGTGGTATATAAGTAAATATCTTGTGGTTTCTGATTGTGTCTTTGTGATGTAGATGCTGCTGGATATACATACAGGGATTCTACAGGGATTCCAGGGTTCCTTTTATTTGCCCTGATATAACAAATCCCCCTGCACACAGAGATGCTTTTTACATGCAAATCTTCCTCTTCCGCAGCCAAAGAAACAGATCTATTTCTTTGGCTGCTGCTAAATTCTGCCATACAGCTACTAAATCTAGGCAGGAACTAACAACTTCCAAGGATAATATTTTCCAGACTCCTGCCATTTAGCTCTGTCTATGGATCGGACAAAGTCTCCGTTATAAAAAATACCAGGATTTTACTATTCATTTCTAAATTATTCTTAGCTCAAATTGCTAAGAGCTTGTCCATCGAAAGGTTGGCAGTTCAGAGGTTCGAATCTCTAGTGCCGCGTAACAGGGTGAGTTCCCCTTACTTGTCCCAGCTTCTGCCAACCTAGCACGTAAAAAATTCAAGTAGAAAAAGAGGGACCACCTTCAGTGGGAAAGTAACAGCGTTTCGTGCGCCTTTGGCGTCTAGTCATGCCGGCCAAATGACCACTGGTCTTCAGACAGCATTGGCTCTTTGGCTTTGAGACGGAGATAGAGTCGGGAACGACTAGCACATATGTGCGAGGGGAACCTTTACCTTTACTTCTTAGCTCAAATTCTACGTGTTGTTAGTTTAGAATTAAAATAGTACGTTACACCCATAGGCAGAAAGTAATCAGAACATAGAACGTTTTCTGTGCTGTTGTATAAATCGTTTTGCTTTGTTTTTATCCTTGCTTTTATGCTGGCCCTGGGCCGAAATTAAGAATTACTTGCTTGCCTTCTTGCTTACCAGCCTCAAACGGTTCGCAGTAGCCAACATCCCCCTCTGTTCCATCAGAGGGAGGCTCACTGCCTTGTTCGAAAACTGCAAATTTAACTCCCCAAAGTGCGTGAGAAACACACTTCGCTGCGCGCACACACACAAAAAAAAACTTTTCAAACCCAAGAGTGATTATGTTCCGCAAACTCAAATTTTGTCCCCACCATTACATTTTCGGCCCATTTGTGCTGGCGGCCAGTCTTAACAGACTCAGAGTTGTCATCCGGCAGGCAAGAATTTGAACCAGCCTCTCTTCCCAGCTACGGGCAACCGGGGCAAAGAAGAGCGGTGAGTGCGCGGGCGGGGGGCCTTTGGGGAGACCCCAGGGAGGGTGGGGTGGAAAAGAAGAAAGGGAAAGGAAGCAGGCCAATCCCGCCCATATGGAAGCCGGAGGGAGGAGAGAAATCCCCTTAGAGCCAGAGGAAGAAACAAAAGAAGGGAGGAGAGGGAGGAAAAAAAGGCGCGCGCTTTGGAAACTCGCTTCCCCGGAGACTCATCCCTGGAAAAGGCAAAACGCTCCCGCTTGAGACCTACCTCGCCTCTAAGCGGCCGGAGAAAAAAAAGCTGCTGCAGCTCCGCCTCGTCCTCCCACCGCTCGGCTCAGCGACTAAAGCGAGCCGCCCCGAATCCGGCATTTATCCCGCCGCGGTCGAGCTCGAGAGCGCGCAGAAGCGACCAGGCGGCGCCCACTTCTCGTCCTCGCTCTCCCTCGCCCCTCTCCGCAACCTCCGCCTCCTCCGCTCGACTTTCTCCGCCGCGTTCCAGGCTTTCACTTTCTTCCGCACCAGATCGCGCCGCCAAAAAACGAAAAGGGGGGAGGGGGGGAGAAAAAGAAAAAAGAAAAAGGAGGAGGGGGAAAAAAAATCTCGCTGGTCCTGATTCCCTTTCCAAGCCAGCAGCCCTCCCCGTCCCGAAAGCACGGCCGCCGTTGGCTCTCCCCCCCCCCCCCCCCCCCCCCCACTTCCACCCAAGAGAGAAAGCAAGAGGGCGGCTTTGGGCGCCGGCGCCAGAGCCACTTAGCTCTTGTTGGTGTGGCTCTGCTCTGTTTCGCTTACAGGCGGAATTCTTGCCTCGCCCGGTTTTCAGGATGGGTTTGAGAAGTAATTATAGTTTGCTTTCACCGATAGCAACTATACCTTTGAAAAAATAAAGAGATAGCACCCGTATCTTTAAAAACAAAACAAAACACCCAAAACCTCAAGTGATCTTAACGATGTTTTAAATGAATGGCCCTACAGCCACACAATGCTGTCGTTACGTCCTACACCCGTCCAAGATGCAAGATACGCCGTTTCTTCCATGCTCTCCCGATTTCCCTTTTCTCCCCAGCAGCATAACTTGGCCAGCTGCTCAGTAACGGTTAAAAGGTTTTCCTGTTGAGGTTTTGGTTGGGTTGGGTTGACTCCGCAATTGGTAAACATACCTAATGAAAGTAGAACTAGGCATATGAGAGATAAACTTCCCTTGTGTGTATGAATAATGTTGTTTGGGTATACAGGGAACAGCTGCAGTCATACTAAGCAGAAACAAAATAAGCCAGGAAGGTGTGATGCATGCAAGCGCGCTAAGCCACGCAAAGGTGGCTTTTTATCAGGTCCGCCTGATTCGCCAGTTGCGTCCCTTTCTGGATCGGGACTCCTTATGCACGGTCACTCATGCCCTCGTCACTTCTCGCCTGGACTACTGTAATGCTCTCTACATGGGGCTCCCCTTGAAGAGCACCCGGAGGCTTCAACTGGTCCAGAATGCAGCCGCGCGGGTGGTTATGGGAGCGTCATGGAGCTCCCATGTAACACCTCTCCTGCGCGAGCTGCACTGGCTTCCGGTGGTCTTCCAAGTGCGCTTCAAGGTATTGGTTACCACCTTTAGAGCGCTCCATGGCTTAGGACCTGGGTATTTATGAGACCGTCTTCTGCCACCGATAGCCTCCCACCGGCCAGTACGCTCCCACAGAGAGGGGCTCCTCAGGGTGCCGTCGGTCAAGCAGTGTTGGCTGGCGGCCCCCTTCTCTGTGGGGGCACCTGCCCTTTGGAACGAACTCCCCCCGGAGATATGGAGGATTCCAGATGTACGCATTTTCCGCTGCGCCCTTAAGACTTTTTTATTCCAACAAGCTGGGCTGGCCTAACTCTTTTAATTGCTAATTTTAATTCGTTTTTTAAAAAGGGGGATATTTTAATGCGTAAGGGCCAAATTCATTTAATATGTTTTAAATTGTTTTTAAATTTTATATATTGTTATGTGTTTTATCTGGCTGTTCACCGCCCTGAGTCCTTCGGGAGAAGGGCGGTATATAAATCTAATAAATACAAATACAAATACAAATAAAGGTCATGTGTGTGTCATGCATATGTCATAATTGGTTATTCGAGTTTAGCTAGACAAGGCAAATAAGATTGTCATAATAGAAATAGAGACTACCCATTTTTGACTCTAGCCTCATCCACTACAAATCTGAGTCCTCTATCAAATATTAATAGGTAACCCTCTGAAAATCCTTCCAAGGGAAGGTAATTGAGAAAAGTAAAATTTCTACACTTCTGTGCATACTGCATTGCATTGCTATATGTGTTGGACTGGAAAATTCAATCCCACCTTCTATCTGTTGAAAGAAGTGATCAAGAGTCGTTGCTTCCCACAACAAATACAACAAATAAATAAATAAAAAATCTCGTTACTTGAATTCATTATTAGATCTAAAATTACAGCTTGAATTTTCATTTGTTCTTACCAAGCAGAATTTAAAGTATATTGCTTGAAGCTGAGCCTTAACAGAGACTGTGATTCCTGTGATTCTGGTATGCAAAACAGAAGGAAAGAGTTGCTAACTACAGGATTCCCAAGCTAGTTGCAATTCATTAATGCAACAAGTAACCATCGTTGCTCACTTAAAATGAACCACGTAATGCAATGTGTATAAGGCCTCTAAGACCTCCACGACACAGTACTTGTATTCCCTGCACCCATGTTGCGTACATTTTTTCAGACACGCTCAACCAGCCACTCCACTGCTTCCCTTGCCCAGAAAGGTTGCTATGAAGAGCTTGAAATCTGCAACAAATGAAAAAAATAGCATGTCAGCATTTTAGTAATCAAGCACTTCTCTCTGTATTGTAACCATAGTTGCCAACTGCTATGGCAGCTGGAAAGAGGAGTGGGGGGAAGAAACAATGCTACCACCAGTCACCAGAATGAGGGTCCTGAGCCCCAATGATAATGGTTGCCTTGACACCCAGACATAGGGTGATTCAAGAGTTCCTACCAAGAGGAGAATAAACCATCAACAAGGTCAGCAGAATTGCAATACTGCAAAAGGGGGGAAAAATTAGCTTCGCTCTGGCATCAAATTAGCCATGCAGAGCCAGAAAAAAATCAACTTAGCTCTCAAACCCAGTTAATGCTGTGCAGGTTTGGAGCTGCTTCTGCATTGTTGCCAAGAGGCACATCTTTTGGATTGGTTTTATATACTTTTTTGATATCATTCATATATATCCAGGATAAGGTGACTTTGATTTTGTTTTTGTTGAGATGAAGAAGCAACATGTTCCTTCTTGAGGAGATGTTTTGCAGCCTCCTTATCATGTTCTCCATTATTTAGAACAGCCCTAAGAGCCTTGCATGCAGCCTTTGCAAATAATGAAGAAAAGTAAAGCAAGGAAGGACAGGCAATGAATGTGTCATTTTTCTGTTAAAAGTTAGAGCCCCGTGAATCATAGAGCAGCTTTATAAGGTTGCTTTGTTCACCCCTTTGTTAAAGCAAAACACCCCATTGAAGGGCAGAATCCTATTCTAGAGTCAGTCATTTGGCCAGTATGTCTTTAAATTCAAGAAGTGCAGCAATGAGGTGGCATTAGCTTAACCTTTTGGTATAAAAGGGAACAACGAAGAAAATTAAAAAAAAAATTACCGTTGGACAAAAATGTTATTGGCGAAAAGACCCTGCAATCTTTCCTACCTGCATTTACATCAGCAACAAAAGAGTTTTGGTTGACATTTTAAGATCTGGCGAGATGTAATTTTTTCTGTGTTAAACTGCACTTTACTGAGCAGAAATAGAGACTGGATATTTATCAGCTGTGAGGTACTACAGAATTGTTGAGTTTCTTCTATTTTAAAGCAGGAACTGAAGTCAATCAATGCCAATTGTTCAGGAACAACTGTCATGAAAACCCCCAAAGAAATTTGTTCCGATGTGGGAGTAAAGGAACTCTCAGTTGGGAACATACCAAAAGAGGCTTTTCAGAATGTTTAGTTACCCTGAGGACATCATCTACATATTGGTTGTATGAAGCTCTGCTTATTTGTGTTGCTTTGAAATATCAAATCATTTGTTGGCTCAATTTGATTCAGTATTGCAATGTTTAAGTTAATAAGTGAAAGCCAATAGCTGCATTTTTAGAAACACAGGAATTGTCTTATAACCTTTACTTTATCTACATTAAGCGGCCGTGCTGCTTTAGAATTTCAAGTACCTTATTTTGACAATTAGCTGAAAATGCCTGATATTAAATTTAGGACATGCTGAGTGCAAGGTATGTATTCTACCACATCAAAGCTAATCTCAGGGACCAGCAATGTCAGTCGTGCACTAAGGTTCATTTCATTCCCTGACCGGAAGCCCATTAGGATTTATCCTCTGAGTTTGCTGTTCCTTTCTGTGCAATGGGTTAGGGTTAGGCTTGTTAGGGGTCATCAGTTTCCTTGTAACTTCTTTCTAATCAACCTTAGTTGATCTCAGCAACAAAGCAGGTTTAGATTTGGTTAGTATTTGGATGGGAGACTAATAAGAAATACTGATAAAATTGCTAAATGTATCCATTGCAAATAGAATTCAATTGGCTAAATGAAGTTTTCAGTCTACAACTTGTTACTTATACTCAAGACCTTCCTCCCCCACAGGAACAAAAACACTCAAAAGGCTCCTGTAACCTGCATGGCCAATTTCAACCCCTCTCCCCACAAGGAGAACTGGCAGAGGGAAACTGAGTTGAAGCTCTCTTCCATGCACAAGGCAGTTGCCATTTTACACAAACTCCCAGAACTCAATTTGCTGTAAATGTACAGTAATTTCCATCATTTCAATCCATTGTCTGAATCTGATTAGAGTATTTCCAAACTGGTTACTGAAGGATGTAATGCGACTTAACCAGAACAATATGCTTTTTCAAGGATTTGTACTGGTCTTAAACCTGACATAATGTTATGTCTGAAAAAGAAAAGTTATGAATAAATATATTTTATTGGTCATAGTATTTTCTATGTACTTCTCCACAATAGGAGGAAATTAGTTTAAGAACATTCTGTTACACAAATATTGGGTTCACATTGTGTGCTAAGCCATATGATTGATTTAGCATATCGCGTGAATGGTTTGTATGTTGTACAAATGCAGCCATTTACAAGCTGTAATTTAGTGCAACATGTAGCAAGTGACATATCTTAAACAGTCCCAATAATTAATGGACCTCTAATGCTAACAAACATCTCTAATGGAAGCAGCATCTCTAAAACCATATATTTCCTGTTTCAGGCCTAGACTGAAACAATTTCTGCAGAAAGTGGGAATGAGTGTAAAAAACCCCCTAGCGTGGAAGTTGTTTATCCTGAACTTCCTACTTCATATGAGATCAATCCCACCATTATTGCATATTAATGTATGCCTCCTTTTTCACAGGCAATGTAATGATTCCATAATGAAGTCAAATTATGACCAGCAGTGGAAATGCCAAAAATTCTTGAACTATAGTTTTTGATTTTGCTTCTGAAAATCCACATGCTCATTGTAATGTTACTTCTATGTAACTCGCACTTGTTATATAAATTATAGCAAAATTTAGGTAATGGTATAACAATGAATTATCCTGTTCAATTGTTCCTCACTGCTTGATAAA